AGGCAGACGCTTGGCAGCTCGTATCTTACCACCAGTAACGATTCCGGAGCTTCGATTGGCGCTGCAAGACCAATGGGCAGCAATGCCTCAACAACTCATTGACATCCTCATTCTCAGCATGGGCAGACGCTGTGAGACCTGCCTAGCAGTCAGGGGAGATTATATCCCCTATCAAAGACCGGATGTTTCTTGCTGGACACCCATCACAGGGATGTTTCGGCCTTCAGTCGCATTGCGCTCCATGCTACTTTTTCAATAAATCTTCTTTTTATCCGTCCGATTTCTCCTTTAGTAAGTGTTGCTTACATCACTCATGTCCTTACGTATTGGGGATCTTACGGTATTAAATGTGTTGATTTGGAAAGCTTTTGTACAAAGTTATACTGAAAAACCGTCTCGTCCTTAATTTTTTCTCATCAGTATAGATCATTCTACCACGTTTCAGGTACTGAATCCTAATTTCTTCACGGTCTTCGCCAGAAATCTGGATAAGGCTAATTGCTTTTAATTTTCCAGATTTCTTTTTTGTAACTTTTGACTTCCTTTTAACTGCCCGTTGACTTTTAGATTGCATTTCTAACTCAACTTTATGCAGGGAAGATTTTATCCCTATAAATGAGCGCGTATCTTTGCGAAAATGTTGACTAACATCTGTCAAACGTGAAATAGGATATAAAACATTCAAGTCCTCTCTTTTTTATTTTGACTCAACGTAGATGATGATGCGATGGGTTATCAAGAAAACGAGTTGAGCAATACATCAGTAGCCACCGTTTCCTCTGGATGGATAGGCCCTAGAGGGAATTGTGCCAGTTGGAGTGATTTCAATAGTTGGTAACGTCTCATGTTGAGCTAATTCACCGCATAATGTACTTTCATCGATTAGCGAAAAGCTCTTTATCCTGAAATAAGTGTTCTTGCATGGCCATAAATCTTTAGATCGGAAACCGCTTAAAGCAAGCGATATCCATACGAATGGCTTTAGGATATGCAACGCCAATCTCGAAACGGTAGTTTATCTCATCCTACTGCCGCCCGGACCTGTTTGTTAGCAAACAGATAATGCTTCATTATAGTAGTTTTAAGCGATTTATAAAAGATCTATTCAAAGGTTGAAGACGGTAAGCTGTATGTTCAGGAAAAAATATCAGTATTATGCCATACTCATGTGCTAGGCGAACGCGTCGATATTTTTCGTCGGCATGGCATTACCGACCGTGAGTGCCATGAATAAAATGTTCTGTTGTTATCAACCCATTCTTAAAAGCACCTAAATCCTGTTGGAGCTCCTTGTGTCAAGCAGTCATTCATGCTTATGCTTTTCAATGTCAACATTTAAGCGTCACACCAGCAGCTTTCATGCAGCATATGCATGTCATTGTGAGGTCCCTTTCTGTAAACCTAAGCTCACTCACGTTGGTCATTCCTTTCACAGTAATTGTTTAGTATTTTTTGTTACCAAACGAATTACTACTGTGTCTTTGCAACAACAGATGACGCTGCTGCCTGATGATTCAATTCTGGTTGCTATGGTAACGAACTTTCAACTCATAACTTATGTGATTTGTATTCTATTCTTTTTTGTTTTTAATTGCTAAGAGTGAAGTGTGAGCTGTGTCGTCACGTGGACGGCATTCCTTCTATTTCAAAGTGTTATGTAAAATAAATGTGATATTACAGTCCGCTTTTTTTTTGTGAACTTATTCTTAACATTCCTGGTTCGTCGAGCCGGAGAGAAGAGTTAGCGATCTTTGTATATGATGTGATTTATTCAAATATTAGCAAGTTAAATCACTTTCGATTTGTGGATTAATAATCAGTGTACTTTCGATTCGATTTGTGGATTATGCGTGTGGCATCTGTGGTGAAATCAGTTTCGATTTGTGGAATATTCCCGTGGCATGGTGTAGCGTAGAAACCTCAACATTGGGGTGAGTACGTTCCAATATTTCATCTTCTTTTGCTAGAGTTGTTAGTATAATATTTATTGTTATTCATAATGGCTGATTTGAAACCAGTTTTAACTAAAAAGAAGGTTCTAAAAAGCAATATAACAACGTTTAAAGGCAAGGTAAATTCGAATTTAGAACAAGCAGAAATTTTAGAGGTAAAGTTGTTCGAAACGAAACTAAATGCTTTTAACAGTGAGCTTCGTTCTATTTATGAGGAACTATTTTTTTTGTGTGTCCTGAAAAAGATTGTGATACATTCATTACGGAACAACAAACAATACAAGAAACTTTAGATGAATTATGGATAACTATAAATAAAAAGTTACAGAAACTTTCCAGTGACTCTGTTATCGAAACAAGTAGTGTAGCAAAAGTAAATTCGTCTGACGTTCGATTACCAAAATTAGAACTTTCTACCTTTACAGGGGAAAATATAGAAGAGTGGATTAGTTTCTATGATCTTTTTAAGGCTAGTGTAGATAACAATCCGAATATTTCTAAATGTCAGAAGTTTCAATATTTAAAGGCTTCTTGTAAAAAAAAGGCTCTGTCTATTATTGAGTCAATTCCTATTTCTGATGCTAATTATGATATAGCGTTGCAACTTTTACAGGAACGTTATTCTAATAAAAGAGAATTAACTAATGCATTAATCCGTAAAATGTTTAATTTGCCAAATGTTTCTGATTCAGCTCAAGCTATTTTACATTGTGTTGATGTAGTGAATGAATGTGTACGCTCTTTGAGAACTCTTAAGCTAGAAGTTTCTGATCTTTCTGATGTTCTTTTTGTTTATCTGATAACTGAGAAATTAGATAAAAACATAAAATTTTGGTGGGAAAGAACTTTGAAAAAAGATGAATTAGGTACTTTAGATAATTTACTCGAGTTTCTAAAAGACCACGCTAGAACCCTTCAGAATAGTAGAAACCAATCTAAAGATTTTAGGAAATTTTCTAATTCCAAATTAACTTCTTTAGTGTCGATTAAAAACAGTTGTATAATGTGCAAGGAAGATTCACAAATGTGGTAAGTTTTTAAACTTAAGTGTCCAAAAAAAGAATCGAATTTGTTAAGAAACACAAACTTTGTTTTAATTGTTTATCTTCTCAGCCTCATTTAGTGAAAAACTGTCGTAGTTTACATAAATGTATGACGTGTAAGTTACCTCATCATACTGTTCTTCATTTTGATCTAAATATCAAAACTAGTGAAAATGAGAAACCAAAACAAAAAACGTCGTCACTTTCCCCCCCAGAGCCGAAGTGTTCTTACCAAAGAATGAAGTCGTTACAAATGCCACAACATGTACAGGACAATTTAGTTATTCTAAAGGTGAATCAAAACGTGTATTACTGTGTACTGCTCTCATTAAAGTTAGTGATTCCAATGGTAAAGCCATCCCTTGCAGGGCTTTACTAGACTGTGGCAGTGAAGCCAGCTTTATAAGTGAAGAGTGTGTCAGAAAACTAAAGTTAGGTAGATTTAACAAAAAAATTGAAGTATCGTGTGCCTTGGTTCGTTCAACACTGTAACAAGTGGAGAAGTGGAATTAATCTTTACCCCGCACTTTGAGTCAAATTCCAAATTTCGAACATATGCATTCGTGATTCCAAGGATAACTTCAGATGTGCCTAACGTGTCGCTTCCTTCTAAAATTGCGAATCATTTTGACGATCTAGTCTTAGCTGATCCTAAGTTCTATGAAAGAAAACCTATAGATATTTTGTTAGGTGTAAATGTATTTTTTACTATGCTTAAGGGAGACATCATAAAGAGAGGAGAATCATTACCCTTTGCAATTTGTTCTCAGTTGGGTTGGATCATTTCCGGGAACACTATTACTGATGATTCGAATCTAACTAACACTTTTACAGTGAATAATCTTCAGTTGAATACAAACGAATTAGTTGAAAGATTTTGGTCTTTAGACTCCATTCCTGAAGTCAAACGTATTTCAAGTGAAGATAAAAAATGTGAAGAGTTCTTTAAAACAACACACTTCCGTGATCAAAATGGTCGTTATGTAGTGAAACTTCCATTTAAAGATAACCCTTCAAGGTTGGGTAATTCTAAAGATCTTGCTTTACAAAGATTTAAATCTTTAGAGAGAAATCTCTTAAGATCTCCTGATACATATGATATGTATAAACATTTCATGAAGGAATACTTGGATCTCGGGCACATGGAACCAGTCCGTAGTTCAGAGTCCCCAAGTCAGGCATACTACATGCCACATCATGCAGTAATTAAGGAATCTAGCTCTACGAGTAAAATACGTGGGGTATTTAATTCTACTAGTAAGTCTTCATCAGGACTATCTCTTAACGACATATTGATGACAGGTCTCAGAATACAACAAGAGCTGTTTCCAGTTTTGGTCAAATTCAGATGTTACCCAATAGTTGTCACGGCTGATATCATGAAACTATTTAGACAAATTCTAGTTAATGAAGAGGATAGAAACTTCAAACTTCAAAGGATAGAAACTTTCAAAGGATATGTTGGCGGGACAGTCCAAGTGATCCTATTCAAGAATTTCGACTTAATACTGTCACATACGGCACTGCCTCGTCTCCATATTTGGCTACTCGTGCTTTATACCAACTTGCATACGATGAGCAGAATAGCTATCCTTTAGCTTCGAAGGCTGTACTTCAAAACGTTTTTGTAGATGATTGTTTGGTGGGTGGTCAAAACACTGAAGAGTGCAAAAATCTAGTAAATCAACTCTTGCAAATGTTAGAACGTGGAGGATTTCTTCTGCGTAAATGGTCATCCAATGACTTGTCAGTGTTAGAGAATATACCCCAGGAGTTGAGAAATGATTCTGAGGCTATGAAAATTCAAGACGATAGCTCAATCAAAGTTTTAGGAATTAATTGGAACCCCCGTGAAGACTACTTTAACTTTTCCGTATCCATTTCTGGTGAAAAGTTTAAATACTCTAAAAGAGATATCCTTTCTGATTTAGCGAAAATATTTGACCCATTGGGTTGGCTTGCTCCTTGTATTATTTATGTCAAAATCAAAATCTTGATACAAGACATGTGGAAACTCCATTTATCGTGGGATGAACCTGTTGTTAGTGATGAGATTGCTAACAAATGGAAGATTTTCCGAAATGATTTACATCTTATTCAACAATTAAAAATACCGAGATTTGTTTTGATTCCTGACGTGAACTATATTGATATCTGTGCTTTTTGTGATGCCTCCGAGAAAGGCTACTGTGCAGCAATTTATTTGCGTTCAGTGTCACGTAATTTGGACATCAAAGTAACACTCTTAACATCAAAAACAAGAGTTGCCCCTCTGAAAGTGCAATCATTACCTCGATTAGAGTTATGCGCCGCAGTTTTGTTAGTGAATTTGCTTAAATCAGTGTTAGAACATTTAGAGTTTCCTATACGTAAAGTTTTGGCCTGGACAGATTCAACTGTTGTACTGTCCTGGATTTCTGCAGAACCATACCGTTGGGTTCCCTTTGTTGCAAACCGCGTTGCTAAAATACAGAATACAATTCCTAATGTAAGGTGGAACCATATCAATGGAAAGCGGAACCCAGCTGATTCAGGTACAAGAGGAATGTTTCCAGCAGAATTTCTGAAGTGTGAGCGATGGTTCATTGGACCTACTTGGTTATATTCACAAGATTTCGAACCATGTCCTGACAGTGAACATCTTGCTGATGTAGATTATGAAGGAGTTCGTAGAGAAGAAAGAAAAACTTGCATTTCAGTATTATCTTGTGCGGTAAAGGAAAATGACATTTTTAAACGGTATTCATCTTGGACAAAATTACGTCGTATAGTTGCATTATGCCTAAGATTTATTTACAACTGTCGAAACTTCTCCGAAAATCGTTTGAGAGGTTTTCTGACAACCGATGAGCTTCGATTAGCTACAAAAACAGTGATAAAAAATGTCCAAGAATCATATTTTCCTCAAGAGCTCTCTTATTTAAAAACATCGAGAGAATTAAAAGGTGTGAGAGCAGCCGAGTAATACAATTAACTCCCTTCCTTGATGAAGAAGGCGTCATTCGAGTAGGTGGTCGCTTAAAAAATGCAAACATTCCTGAAAATAGCAAACATCCTATTTTGCTTCCAAAGGAAGGACATGTCACTAATCTCATCGTAACTCATTACCATGTCAATTATTTGCATGCTAGTCAAGAGTTATTAATAAGCACTTTACGAATGCAGTTTTGGATTCTTGCGGTGAGAAGCGTAGTGAGAAAGATTATTCACAGATGTATTCCTTGTATTAGAAATCGAGGCAAGACTGTGACCCAGATAATGGGTGATTTACCCTCGCCCAGAGTTCAACCATCAAGACCTTTTGCAGTCACCGGTGTTGATTATGCTGGTCCATATTCTATTAAGTCCCAAGTTGGGAGAAGAACAAAAACTTTCAAGTGTTACGTATCCATTTTTGTGTGTTTCTCAACAAAAGCTGTACACTTGGAGTTAGTCAGTGATTTATCAACTTCAACGTTTTTAGCAGCTCTAAAAAGATTTATCGCCCGACGAGGCAAACCATCTAAAATTTCGAGTGACTGTGCTACTAACTTCAAAGGTGCTAGTAAGGAACTGAAGGAGATTTATAAAAATGCAGCTCGCATTGAGAAAAGCAGTGAATTATGTGACTACATTACCTCAGAAGGTATAACTTGGTTATTTAATCCTCCGACATCTCCTCACTACGGTGGCTTGTGGGAATCTAATGTGAAATCCATGAAATTTCATCTTAAACGAGTATTAGGATCCACACTTCTAACTTACGAGGAATTTTTAACAGTGCTTACACAAGTGGAAGCGTGTATGAATTCCCGTCCTCTTTGTGCGATGTCTAGTGATCCAAACGACTTTAGTGCATTGACTCCAGGTCATTTTCTGATTGGAGCCCCTTTGCTTGCCATTCCGGAATCTGACTTGAGTGATGTGAAATCTTCACGACTTAAACGTTGGTCTCTAGTTCAACAGACTGTGCAACATTTTTGGAAACGATGGTGTGCAGAATATTTAACATAACTTCAACAACGTGCTAAGTGGTTTCGCGCGTCTCCAAATCTAAAATGTGGTGATTTAGTTCTGATCGAAAACGAACAACTGCCTCCAAACCAATGGAAAATTGGAAGAATTGCCTTAATTGCCTTAATTCATCCAGGTAGTGATAAAAAGTTCGAGTGGCTACAATCCATACAGCCGCTGGTGATTTCAAACGAGCTGTTACTAAATTGTGTCTTATCCCCAATCATGACTAATATGAACTATTGACTTTTTTCATATTATTGAACTTTAATTTTAGTTATATTTTCAATTAATTTTTTTGTTAATGTTATTATGTATGCTTTAACTATTTGTCTTTTTTGAACCCTTAGAAGGCTTCAAGGCCGGGGGCTATGTTTAGTATTTTTGTTACCAAACGAATTACTAGTGTGTCTTTGCAACATAGATGGGCGTTGCCTGCCTGATGATTCAATTCTGGTTGCTATGGTAACGAACTTTCAACTCATAACTTATGTGATTTGTATTCTATTCTTTTTTTTTTTTTTTTAATTGCTACTGTGCTGGAGTGATGTGAGCTGTGTCGTCACGTAGACGGCATTCCTTCTATTTGAAAGTGTTATGTAAAATAAATAACTGATATTACAGTCCACTTACCTTTGTTTTTGTGAACTTATTTTTAACTGTAATTATTTTTGATAGTTTATGGACCGTCGAAAGACCAGCTTTATCAGCATTACACATTTAATGAGCAACAAATTTGTGCTCATTACTTCTTAATTATCAATGAATTTATAAACTCATAAACTTGTTCTTCATTAAACGTCTAGCTCTTGCCACTGAGTTGGCCTGTGGAGTGCGTAAAGACAAGGACGAATGGTTTTCATAAACTTGTAGTATCATTTTTACCCCGAAATTCATTTTTCCAAGTTAGAACGAAGTGGACATTTTTGTTTTTCAGCTAATTCAAGCCAAACCAACTTCCTTAGATCAGTTGTTGCAATTAAAAAACGTTTCTAATGTAAGAATATGGTTAATCACCACTCATTCCATTTCTTCGGTCATATCTTTTGGCCTGCCAAATATGACGAGCGAGTTTAATCCTTGAATCTGACTTCGGAGAGTCGGTTTAGAAACTCCATGCTGCCTATACTTCTCATTAAATCTTCATTTACTCTTGTGCAATTCGCTTAATGTCTCAAACATTTCTTCTTTCTTCCAACTATTCTAAATTGTTTGACTTTATAACAGAAAAATTAAAACACAGTTTTTCCTTGAACGTGATATCACATAGTACCAAACTGCGGTAGTTACTTAATTTGTGCCCAAATATTTCTTAAATTGTAATAAATCGTAAATCGTACCAGGTACGAGTTATGAACCTGATGTTGGTGCAATTTAAAATGCTACACTAGTTGCATTTCCAACGAATGCAAGCAACCCAAGATAAGTGCATAAGGCGCTGGTTTTAACCAAATAGCTTTTTAGTTACTATAGAATGAATATCCAAAAACATATTTGCCCCAACAAGTCATATACTTATTATAAAAGTTATATAATGTATCAAGAAAATTATAGAGAATGCAGTAAAAACTTACTTTTTAGCGGCATTTATAGAAACCAGATGTTTACTTTTGATGACCAGTCGAAAACAATTGTTGCGATGCTGAAAATTTGGGGTTTTTAACTTATAAAGTTTTAAACTTTGAGTTTAACTCAAAAATAAACATAATAAAGATACCCTTATTAAACCTGAACTGTGTAGTGGAGGAACTGTTTGGTGATCTAACTTTAATACATTTAAAATAAACATATCTTAAAGATCAATTATATTAATCAATTTAACTTCTCACTCTTTAAATAAAATTTAACCTGAAAAAAACTAAGAAGGAATAAATCTCCCTGGTGGTCGGGTAAAAGGAATAGTAACTCTCAAACACAAAAATCTCTTAAATGCACTTAAACTACATATTCAATCGTTTCAATTTTTAAATTGAGAACAATTTATTCATTTTCATTAAATCAAAACCTCTCAAACACCAGAGAAGAACTATCCCTAAACACAAAGCAGTTCTTATGAAAAATCAGTCATCTTAATTTCAATCCTAGCTCCTAAGTATCAATTATCATTAAACCCAAAACACAATCAATCATTAATTGTATACATGGTTACTACAAAAGGAGCGCTGTGAAGTCCAAAAATAGGATAACTAACACAATAACACAAATTAAATATACGCTCCATGTTTCTTCAAGGCCTCCCGGCTCAAACAATTGGAGTGACTGGGTAGACCAAGGTAAAAACACACAAATTAACAAAATGCAATTAAAATTTTAAACAAACACATTTATTAAATTTCATAATTAATTCAAACATATGATAACTAAGTAAACTGATCAGTATCCAACCACATTATCCTTCCGAGGCAAAATAACATATATGTCATTAAAAACTACATGCGCACAGTTATTAAATTTAAAATTTCTAATTCACAATTTAAGGTGGCGAAACAAACACTCCTTCATTAGCAGACTTAAAATAACTAGTAATTTACTCAAAAAATTCTCTGATCACCTCTAGGTTTACGTATATAATATAAATGATTATTACTTCTATGGAATTAGAGAAGATAGAGAGGTAGAAAATTTAAATTATCACTCACAGATTTTTCGGACCGTATAATTCTTATCGAGAGTCCCAAATTTCTACTCACTGAGGAAGTCTATTTCCTAGAACAAACATCGTCATAAGTCTGTTGGTCTTACGTCATAAAATCAGCATTTTAGGAAAGAGACAATTCTTTCGGATCTAAGGATGACCTCTCGTTGAAAACACTAATGAAGTAGTCCCTACAATCACGAATTCTGGAGTAATACTGGTAGAAGAATCGACAAAGACTGCACGACCGTAAAGCAGGTAGTATAGCGGCCGGAAACACTGGTAATTTCAACTACAAGGAGAGACGGCGAGCATCTAAAATTCCTAGAATAACAACTTGAGGAATGTCCCTTTTGGATACCAAACAAATTGCACAAATTTTCTACCTCTAGCCCGACAAAGCATAAAAACATAGGTGGTAAGACAAATTTGCAGCAGAACAAACTTCCCACGATCTCAGTAGCAAATTCTCTTCAGCTAAACGCAGAGAGAAAATCATATCCGCACCCGCTGGTTCACGCCGCCCGCAGCAGGCAAGCCAGCCACAGAGCAAGCGCCCCGATCTTTTCTGTGAAATCATTCACTTCAAATCTGACTCCGCTAAACCCGCGAGAGCAAGACCCTCAAGAGGTCAAGCCTCCACATTTCTTTCTCCTCTACGTTCTTCTTTGCAAGTTCAAATCTGAATGACTTCTCCTCTCATGCAACCTTCCAAGAAAACTCGGTCTCTCCGCCCCCATAAGTTCATAGGCTTAAAAAAATTAAATTTCACCAATCCCAGACTTTCACTTTTATCAGTTAACAGAAAACTACATCCACACAATGAATCAAAAACAAGACAATTTGACAAAACAACCGTACATCTGTACTCGGGAAAACGTAGGAAATACAACTCGACACCTCCATGCTGACGACGGAAACTAACGATAAGAATCAAATTGCCTAAACTTACAGAACACCCACTGTTCGGAAGGAAAGCTGAAATAAAACCATTGCATTATAACAAAGCGAGAAAGCAAGTGAAAACAAAAAAGTCGATTTACGATTTCCTTAACTGCCTCATTAGTAAGGGCTCCAGCGAAGAAATTCTACATTCACACTAACTGCCTTCAGTTCTACTGTTACTAAGAAGCCATAACGCAGAAGTCACTTCCGTTCAACGAAATGCTCAAAAGAAAAGTTTCCTGTTTCTGTTACAAAATCTACCGTTGCAAGAATAACCAGCTAAATAAAGCTCTTAACAATTTACGAAACTCTTTTTACAGTTTCAAATACAAATGAATACAAATAAAAATACTGGATTAATGATAACTTAAAACAAACATGAATACACCTACAGTTCGCGACGTAACACAATATGAGAGACTCAATGGCGCATCACAACGTCGCGAAAAGTGGTGTCTTTAGCTCTTTATTTAAAATATTGACAGTGGTCCAATTTAGGCAGTTATAAGACTTGAGCAACCTTCCGCTCCTTGTAGGGTAATCTTACTATAATTTGACTCTGCTCCCTTTCCAAACTTTTATTTTGTAACGAAGTGTGTCATTGGTACTATTGTCAGTATCTCTGGAAACTCTATTTCTATTAGTATCTCTTCCATTTGTTGTTTCAAGTGATAGAGATTGACTGATCAACTTCAAAAGCTCAACTTTTGCTTACATTATTTATGCGTCTCCAAATAAACGTACGGAGGTTGGATCCAGAACTTTCTCAACCGGTGGATGAGCATTTTATTTTCTCGTCCTCCGACAGCCAGTTGTTTTATTTTCTGGCTAAGAGTATGAATGCTTTCTGAGCAGCTATGCTTTTAAAAACTATATAAAAGCTACGCACTAAGTAAATGAATTACGTTATTTTGTCTTTGCTTGGATTAACTGTAAAAACGTTTAATATTTTCGGATTAATTCTCCCTTTCCTTTCAAGTTTAAATGTATGACATTAGAATAAATGTTTTCATTTCGAAAATATATTCTGTGTTAACAAAACGCAACCGCCATTCGTCGCTAAAATTCTCTTCCACTTCACCCTTTTCAAAGCAAAAAAATGAATTATTAATTTAAAAATGTTATTTTGCTATGGGAAGTTAGAATGTTTTCTTCATCTCATTATTAGCAGGAAAATGCTATGTATAATTAAATCTGCTTCAGGATTAAATTTAAATAAATTAACCAGGAAAGTATATAGCAGAACTAAATAAGCTGATTGTTCCTTTCTGAGAAAACTGATTTATGCTTAAAATTAACAACATTTCAGCAGTAAAACAATTTATTTCCTCAAACATCAAATATTTATGATACTTTTCATTCGAAAACTTTACTTTTTATAATTGTAGTATAATTGAAATAAAATACAATAATTTACAAG